CATGAACAGAAAAGCTTTGTTAGAATTAGAATAAGAAACCGAAATGGCTACATAAGATAGAGACACTTAATGTGCACCGCCTCCTTATTGAACGCAAACACACTCAAGCTACGAAGAGCTTATCATGCTTTATTCCACTTTATCATTGAACTCGAGACTCGAGATCAGAATTTAAGAGGCTTCAGTTTACAAAGCGTTGAAAGGCTATGTGATCATGAGGACAAGACAAGGATTCAGTTTACAAAGCGTTGAAAGGCTATATGATCGTGAGGACAAGACAAGCAGTCTCTAAGAGAAAGCTCGACATCGAACTCAACTCTTTACTTTTGAAAATATGAAGATATGAACTGTGGTTTTTATCCTATGGGGTCTTCAATATTTAATATTCATAATTCCTTACTAATGGTGACCTATTAACAATTAACTATCGAAATAACGCCTTTATCCCACGTGGTTTTCAATATCTAATCTTTTTATTTCCTTGCCGATGATGAGCCACGATCGTCAAGTAACCGTTGAAACTTGCTTGAATCTAAGTGAACACATCGAGCTTGACAATGCTTTCATTCGAAAAGAAACTGAATGAGAAACCGAATGAAATTTTCTCCCGTTAGTGCTATGGAAGAAGAAACAACAACAAAAAAATTCAGAAGAAATGGGATGAATCCCTTTTTCTCTTAATCTACCATGAAAAAGAAAAAAAAACTCTTAACTAGTATACCTTTTCAATGGCAAAGAAATACATTTTGAATATGAAATTTAAATTCTGTTTCGAAAGCTTATATTAGAGACAATAAAAAACGGGAAAATTAGAAAATTCATTGAAATATGAATTTCTATGTTCCACGCTCTACTGAAAAGAAAAATCGGTTTGCCTAAAGTTACACTGGCTACAAGGAGTTAGTTGTTTGTAATCTCCTCTCGCTCGCCATTGATTTGCGAAAGATTGTAAATGACCGGTCTTTATGGTTATTATTAATATAAACATTTATTCCACAATCGACCAATTTTTTTGTAATTTTCCGTGTCATCGTAGTCATCATAGTCGGCATTGTGTAAACACACTTTCCTCATCGACTTCCGCGTAGGCACAGGCTAAAAAAAGAAAAAAAAATTTTTTTCCAAATTTTGCGAAGTCTTCTGTTATAATCAATCAAGTTTGTACTTCGAATCGAAATACTCAGGGACACTAATCTCCTGCTGAAGACATGTCTCACTGCCATCTTTCGCTCGTCTGCGCCATTTCTGTGTCAACACTAAACAATGGCATTTGCATAACATTTCTGAGAGGGCTGTTTGCTGCTGACTTTTCAAAGTTCTTTCAATTTTTTGTTGTTGTTGTTGTTGAAGTACTAGTTATAAGTTTAAATTGATTAAATTCGTTTTGTTTTTGTGAGTTGGTACGTGTAACTTCACTTTGCTGATAGTAACCTCTCTGTAGTATGTTTCTCTGCATATCATCCTCCACTGCATTGAGTTACAAGTTTCCGCGTTGAGTGTGTCAATTAGGCAACATTAGAAGCGCCGTGAGTTTCACCATTAGTCTGTAAAGCTACACTTGAGCCAATTCTCCTGTTGGTAATGGAGGTTGATCATGGTGTATTGCTGCAAAGAAGAAAGCGCTGCATTATCAACAAGCTTAATGCTGTTTATATTATATATTTCAGGCATAAACGTTTTCATATTGATTATTTTAACGATAAAACTGTCCGATCAACCACGTTAATATGATAAAAAAAGCAGGTGACAGGATGTTATAAGTAAGTTAATAGCGGAAGCAAAACTCGAAATAGCAATTTTTTCAATTTGAATTGCGTGGCAAGATGTTAACCAGCCGCCTTCTGCTGACGTGTAGGGTTTGATGCTTTTTTGCGTTTATATTCCCTTTTGAAAGTTTCTCCGTGGTAAAAAGGCAAGATTTCTAGAATTTAAAAAAAGAAAAATTCTACAGCATGATCGCAGTAGTTTGACATATGTATGGCACATTGTTTACTGACATCTCTTGTCAAAATAAAATTACCATTAAAAAGCATTCAAACAGCTGATCCCTACTTGCGAAGCGCTCAAGCACGCTTAATATTTTTTTAATTAAAAAGTACCATTTTATTCATGCCCTAGGAGTTGATGTCTCATCCTCCTCCTTCCTAGCTGTAAAATTCAGCGTTAAACGACTGCTTCATTTACTTCCCGTCTCATTAACTTGACGTAACATAAGGAGTCACGAAGTCATGTTACCACAACGTTGAACAAATTGAAACATTACACCAGTGAATAGGCAACTGAAAACTTGATGAACTGTTTTTTAACCCTTTACACCCTAACATCACTACGTGTATTCTCCGTACTGTTCTCTATGCATTCCCTGAGGAACTGATGAGGAAAATTTGTTTAACAATCAAGAGCATCTTTAGTTGGTGATCATTCCCTTTATCACTGTGACCTTCACGTGTGACACAGGGGTGATAATGTGTGGAGAAATTAAACGCTGGTCAATCCTAGTGTTAAGGGTTAGGAGACTACCCATGTACAGGAGTGAGAGCGAACTGTCCAAAATCAGACAGAATCGTCCAAAATCCAACAACCTTCGGAGGTCGTTCAGAATCGTCTTAAAACAGACGGAAATCATCTGAAATCGTCTGAAATCAGACGAAAATGTTTTTTAATTTAGGGACACATACACTTTACTACTCGGACAACACTTTTCAAAATTAGAGGGAAACGTCCTCAATCAGCGCATGAACAGACAAGCTTTGTTAGAATGAGAATAAGAAACCGAAATGGCTACATAGGATGGAGACACTTTATGTGCGCCGGCTCCTTATTGAACACAAACACACTCAAGTTACGAAAAGCTTATCATTGAACTCGAGACTCGAGATCAGAATTTAAGAGGCTTCAGTCTACAAAACGGTTAAAGATTATATGATCACCACGAAATGAGGACAAGACAGACAGTCTCTAAGAGAACGGGGCCATGAGTCTTTTCGACAGATATGAATTATTTATCCCAAGGCTCTTCAATATCTAATCTTTATTATTCCTTGCCGATGGTGATCTGTCAACGACTGACCGTCGAAATGACGCCTTCACCCCACGTGGTTTTCAATACCTAATCTTTATATTTCCTCGCCGATGGTGAGCCTATCGTCAAGTAACCGTTGAAACTTACTTCGAATGTAATTCAACATATCGAGCTTGATGCCGCTTTCATTCGAAAGGTATTGAATCAAAATCCAAATGAGTTCTATTTTAGTGCTATGGAAGAAGAAAAAAACAAAAACAGAAAAGATGGGATGAATCCCCTTTTCTTTTAGTCTACCAGGAAAAAAAATCTCCACTAGGATGCCATTTTAAATGGCAAAGAAATAAATTTTGAATATGGAATTTAAATTCCGTTTCGATAGCTTATATAAGAGACAAGAAAAAGGGAAAATTCCAAAATTAATTGAAATATGAATTGCTTTGTTCACCGCGATAAAAGAAAAGAACGGTTTGCCTCAAGTTACACTGGATATATGGGGTTAGTTGTATGTAATCTCCTCTCGCGCGCCATTGAATTGCGAAAGGTGGTAAATGACCAGTCTTTATGTTTATCATTATGAACTTATAATCAATCAACCAATTGTTTTGTAATTTTCATAAATATATTCGGCATTGTGTAAACACACTTTCCTCGTCGACTGCATGGGCAACAAAAACAAAAAGATTCTTTGTTTTCGAAATTTTTCGTAAAGTCTTCTGTTATATTTGGTCAAGTTTGTACATGAGGGACTCAGGGACACTAATCTCCTGCTGAAGACATGTTTCGCTGCCATCTTTCGCTCGTTTACGCAATTTCTCGGTCAACACTAAACAAACGCATTTTGCATAAAATTTCTGAGAGGGCTGTTTGCCGTTGGCAAAGTTCTTTTTCGATTTTTTGTCGTTGTTGAAGTGTTAGTTAGAAGCTTAAATTGATTAAATTTATTTTGTTGCTGGAATTGGCACGTGTAGCTTTTCTTTGCCGTTAGTTACTTTTCTCTACTATTTTTTCGCATCCACCTGGGCACTTCGTACGCGTTTCCGTGGTAGGTGTGTCAACTAGACAATAAAAGAAGCGCCGTTAGTTTCACTATCAGTCTGTAAACCTACACTTACGACAATTTTGTTTTCGTCTCCTTTTGGTAATGGAGGTTAATTGTGTATTGTCGCCAGGAAAGTGCTGCACTTATTCGAAACTCCGTGTAGCTTATATTATTTATTATTTATATTATTTAGCTTATCCGACGAAGGGCTAACGCTCGAAACGTCAGCTTTTGTAATCATTACGGTGGCCAATTTACCATTTCAACTTTGTTGATATATCCAAATTATTATATTATTTGTTCCAGGCATAACCGTTTTCTTATTGGTTATTTTAATGATAACACCGTCCAATGAATTACGTGAATACGATGATGAAGCTGGTGACAGGATGTTATAAGTAAGTTAATAGCGGAAGCAAAACTCGAAATAGTATTTCGTTCAATTTGAGTTACGCGGCAAGATGTTAACCAGCCGTCTTCAGCTGACATGTAGGTTTTGATGTTTATTTGCATTTGAATTTCCTTTTGAAAGTTCCTCCCTGGTAAATAGGGAAGATTTCTAGAATTTTAAAAAAGGCAAGTTATGTAGCATGATCGCAGTTGCTTGATATGTGTATGGCACATTGTTTACAGAGCTATCTTGTGAAAATAAAAACTACCATGTAAAAGCATTTAAACAGCTGATTCCTACTTGCGAAGCGTTTAAGCACACTGAATGTTTTTTTTAATTTAAAGTACCAGTTTTTCATGCCCCATGAGTTGATGTCTCATCCTCCTTCCTTCCTAGCCGTAAAAGCCAGTGCTAACGACTGATTCAGTTACTTCCGGTGACATCAACAGTCTTAAAGCCATGCTACCTCAACTTTGACCAAATTGAAAAATTACACCAATGATTAAGAATTCATAATTATCGAGCAAGCCACAAAAGCTAAGGCAACTAATGAGTGATAATCGATAACTCGTTAGTTCTAGGGATTCAGTTTTCGCAGCTATCCGCATACTCATGATGTACAACACTGCGGGCAGAAAGGTAAATCATTATTTTTCAGAATCACTTTTTCCAAGAAGCAGAAGACGACAGGCAGGAAAACAACCAAAAAAACACAACAAAAAAAAATTTTAAATAGACGGTGAAATGCAGCCGCTGCTAGGAAATGATCGGCTTTTCATTTCTCACACATTAAACAAACTGAAAAGACCGTAGAATTGAAAGGTCACCGTTAGTTTAAATATTTTCGTTTTCATAGTGCCCAAAAAGTTGGAAATGCAAACAGTTTCAACTGAATTTCTGGGGAGGAAATCGCGAGAGAATATTTGATTCTAGGGTCGTCAACTGTTGAAAAAGTAATTTTATTTTCACTTCAATAACGGAGGAAGACACCCATATTCAGTCTAGACGTTTTAAAGGTTTCTTTCCTCCCAGTGGGGGCGAGAAGATAGAAAGCACGAGTCCAGGGGTGAACTTATACTGATATGCACCAACACAGATGAAAGTTTTATAGTATACGTAGTACTGCATGAGAAGTGAATGCACGAAAGTTTGCTAAGACAGGTAGAAACAATATCCATCCCGCGCTGAACTTGTCCAGTTGCTGAATGTGTTGTTATGAGAGTAAATCCATATTATAAATGATGCTTTGTACACGGGCGGAATAATTTTAAATGTGTAATTTCTCGTTAACCTCAAACCACATTATTAATGATAAGCTATCATGACTCATGTTCAATATCCTGTGGCTGAGTTTTGTTTATTATGTAGCTAGGTATTTTAATTCCCACCAGACCGCTGGATTTTGGATGAAACTTTACGCACGTTTTTCAGAGAACAATTTTCCAGTCCTTTGGATCAAATTATTCTGACAGTCACACTCCTGGTTCATCAATGCTACAGTAATACACATGACATCCCCAATTAAGAAACACCTCCAATTTTTTCCTGATCTCCTGTCATTTTATTGTTTTTTTTTTCTTTTTTTCGCTTTCCACTTGAGAAGCTGTTACCAGAGTTTAGGGAGAGCTGAAAGCTTAATGTTTGTATACTGGCCTTAAAAGTTTACTTCAGCCTGTAGCTACCTACTTCCGGTTTCACAGTACTCACGTTTTTCAAAATAACATGGAATTTCTGAGAGTCTCGACCTTTCCTGACGTTCCATCTTATTCGAGGTATTCTGGTTGACCGCCAGATCATGAACGAAACAAATAAACAATTTTTTTCTATAATTACGTTAACAAAGGATCTTTGAGACATCAAGGAAAATTGAAAGTTGATGTCAATTCTATAAGGTGACTGACAGTTTGACAAGAGTTGTGGTAAATTTGTATTCTACTGTGAGGGTTATCTGTGGAAAAACAAACGCCTTTTTCCTCCTAACGAAAATAACCTAAATATGACATATACACTCACGAGGTGGGACAGATCAATTTTAATGAAAGCCTTTTTTGACATAACGCCTTTGCCACCTGCTTTATTAGCTCGCTTCGTGGTTGTTCAGGTGCAGTTATATCATTATTTGCCAATTTCGTGGAAATCTAAATTTAAATTTAGGTGGGCTGCTTCAGGTGTTTTGTTTCGTAATCATTGTATAATAATCGTGCTAAAATGATATAAATTGGAGCACCTTGTTCCTGAACGGTCACATTCTTAAGATACGCCTAAGTTGGAACTCACTGGAAACTGGTTAACCCTCCCCCCCCCCCACCTTACGAAGACGGAATTGACAAGACGCTGCGCAGACTCGATCAGATATGCCGGGAAACCTCGCCAAGGTTTCAATCATATTCTTAACTAACCCCTTTCTTTTTATATTTAAATCATCAGTTCTTGTAAATAATTTATTTTTACCTTTTAGTTCAGTGGTTTGAGAGTCTTTGCTCTTGTGCTGCTTGTGATCGCAACCCCGCAAGGAAGACAAATTTACGATAGAGCTAAAGCCGTAGAGGCGCAACGTGGCATTAAAACCTTCACCTGGGACGCTGTAGAAGATAACGACCATGAAATCCACCAAGAAGATGAGGACGAGGAACACGACGAAGATTCTTTGGACTTAGCTTTTGAAAAGAGATCAGGCTCCAACAGTTGTCATTGTTCGGTTTTAAACGACGCCATTTCAAACAAATTGTTCGAACCCAACATTCTAGATAAGATATGTCGGGAAGTTTTTTTGGGTTGCATATGCCAGACCGACCCGGCTGGAAACTGCAGTGTGTGTGTTAACGAATCAAAAGGGAAAAAAAGGCAGAAAAAACTGTGATTAGTTAAGGTTCTAAACGTTTAATGTGTCTGTCATGAGCAAAACGTACTTAATAAAAGTTTTAAGTCATGAAGTTTTATAATTTGGTTTGAGTACAACAAGTTTATGCTAGGTTTGTAGGCAGGAATGCACAGCTGAAAGGCTAGTATGCAGATTGCATTACAGAATAATTATTTTTCTTATTTCACCAACGCCTGGAAAAAAATATTTGCGTTGATGTGTGCCATTTTGCCTGATTTTGAACTATAAATCGTAATTTGATATTTAGGCTATGACCTTGCGAGAACCTTTGTAGAGGTACTGCCAAAATCAATTAAACTACTGATGCACAAACACCAACGGTTTTCGAGAGAAATACTTTAGAAAGGAACATTAATTGGTGTTTCCAAAGTTGAGTTCATGATTTATTCTTTCGACACCTGTACGACGACTCCTATACTTTCTTCCCAACAAAATCAGAACATTCCTAAAACTCTTCTTAAAACTATCTTCGTTTTCTATCTACGACCAACTACCTACCCCGAGGAGAAATATTCTTTTTATCGACTCAACGATCGTCGATAGCGATTTGAGGGCAATTGGCTAATATAACCTATGCTCACCCTCTGCACACATTAAAGAAAAAGTCAACACTTGCCCAGAAGTATAGTTGTACATCAAATTAATATTTGCAACCAAGTAACACTTCACCATGGCAAACATTAGTTTTTCTAATACTTACACTTGACGCCCAATTTGTTCGGCATTATTAGTTATTTTAGGTGCCCAGTGACTGCATTTTTCTACATATGTTCTAATGCACAACCAAGTTTTTATTGAAATAAATGTTCTTGTTGAGTGTTGCTTGCTGTAATGATTTGATGTAGGCTCGATCGTAATTTACGAATTAGCTGTTGACCTTTAAACATTTGATCAATTTTTTCTCCCAGATTTCTTTTTCAATTGACTTTGGATAGTCTATGTAACTCCTATTTTGTAGCTCCTTCGGTAGTTTATTTCTGTCAACATCATCAAGTTTGATGACAACTAAGCTATCATCCTTCTTTTCCATGAGTCGGTGGAGGGCGTAATCCAGCTCAGATCCGCAGTAGTTACTATTGAAGAAATTAGTGGAGACAATAGCCACCGTTTTCTTGCATTTGTAGACGCTGTCCACCATATTTTGCCGAATGGGTATCCCAAGAGTAAAATCTCTATAGTGTACGCAGCACTTTAGCCCATGCTTTTCCTCAAGAGTTGGAAGAAGGGTCTTTACCACCCATTCTGAGTCATGTGAACTGTATATAACAAATGCGTCGAACTCAAATTTCAGACCTGAAAAGTTAATAAACTTCCGTAACTATTCGTGACTTGGGGTGTGCGAAGCATTCATAAAGTCTTCAGTTCCTAAGTTCGCGCGCAGTGGATAATGCATAGGGTTTAACTAATCTTGGGCAAGGCATGCGTTGGTTTAATTTGGTGTAGTTTTTTTTATTTGATATAGTTGGTGTAGTTTGGTGTAGTTCGATGTAGTTTGCAGTAGTACACCAACTAATCCAAACTAAAGCAACTACCAATTTGATTCGTTGGGTTAGTTTGGTGTGTTTTTTCTTATTTATTTATTTATTTATTTTATTTTGATATAGTTGGTGTAGTTTGGTGTAGTTCGATGTAGTTTGGGATTAGTTGGTGTACTTTGGAGTAGTACACCAACTAAGCCAAACGACAGCAACTACACCAAAAATGCACCAAGCCACACGAACTACACCGAACTTTATCAAGTATACCAATACCAATAACACATCAAATATCCTACTCTACAGAAACTAGACAATCACACCAAATTACACTTTCAAACACCTAAATTACTCTGCTCTTGGGTTGAGTAGAACGTAGTCCATATTCCTGACGGTAATGATGGATCTATTAGGAAAGATCTTAGAAATCCAACTTTAGTTACATACTGACTTTTTGGTCGTTGGTGACGGCAAAAAAATAAACACGAATGACGAAGTAGTCCTCCAAACCGAGCTTATTCGTTGAGTTGGGTTTAATCCGTGGGTCAACCCTGAGTAACTATTTGTCAGGGAAATGTAAACACATTAAACAACACAACCTTAATTTCTTACCTGTCAGAGGATTGGCAAGACTGTTAGGTTGGTACATTTTGTGTCGACGATAACGCAAAGCTATCAATAACAAAGCCATAGCGAATACGCACAAGGTAACTAAGGCAGTTATAAGGGCCAGGCTGGTCCCGTTATCTAAAGGGATCAAAGGATAGTCTGAAACTTATAACACTGGTAGATACAAGCAATCATGGACAACACTACCAGTTCAGAGAATAACTTTGAATAATCTTCAATTTTAGCTTAAAAGCCTACTATTTTTCCTTTGGTCCGAAAGTTTTGTCAGCACTGTGTTGGTGTGTAGTGAAGCTATTTTTGGCTGGAATTGGCAGTAATTTCGCGATCTGATCGGTCAATTTGTCGTTGTTGATAAGAGCACAGACAACGCCGCTCGCGTAACGTGTCACGCAACGTGTCACGCACTGAAAGAATTGTTTTTATTTGACGACGATATTGCGGACTCAATCGGCTGCACCTCACATGCCCAAGACATTTTGGCCCCTATGATGATGAATATCGTTTTCGATAATTATTTTTAACTCGTCACAAGTTCTCAACATAGCACCTGCTTGTACAAGAATTAATAAATTAATAAATTCAAGTGAGTTAACTTGAGTTTCATTTAAGTTCTCTTTGCATTCTTGGCATGTATCTTTGAGTTCGCAAAGCGGCCTATTTCGAAAACGGCGCTTGACATTTATCGCGAACAGCGTGTATATCAGTAAGCACTTCGAGCGCCTTAGTTTGGACAAAAACCATCCACTATTCTTAATCTGACCCTTGAACAGCGTTGCACTACCCAACAGTTCAAGTCTGAATACACTCGATGCCAAAGCTCAACCTCATTCCCAGCCTATGTCCACCACATTGCTTTACGCCAATTAAAAACTGCCCGTTTACAACCAGAATAAATATTTCCTTTGACTGGCACTACATAAAATCATAAGAGAATAAAAATGCCATCTAAATAAAAATAATAAAAACCGACAGTTAATAATTTGAAATTCATCCTTTTTTTAAAGTTATCCTTTAAATCACCGTTCTTATGTTAGATGACTATTTTTGGCTTCTTACCAGAGTTCGGCAAAGTTGCCTCTTCATCTGAAAAAAACAATAAAAAAAATTTAAGCGGATCGTTGTCGATAAATATTTTTAACTTTAGACTAATAAGTCTGTACGTTTTGCATAGGCGGCAGTGCGAAATTACCAATAAAAAAGCCATAGCGAATACACACTACGTTACTGAGGCAGCTGTAAGGGCCAGACTGGATAAGATAAACAGAATCAAAAGGATAGTCTGAAAGTCTGGTAGATACAAGAAATGGACAACAATTCCGGTTCAGAGAATAGCTTTGAATAATCTTCAGTTTGAAAGCTCTGTCAGCTCTGTCGGGGCTGCAGCAAAGTATTGCATTCCGATATGTTATTAAGCCGAAACTTGCATTTTTTTTAAAGGCATTGTGACAATGACCTTCCGTTCTCGGATTAGCTTGACAAAACAAATCAAAGCAAAAAGCAAAACGAAAATTAGAACAGACATCATTCGTGTTCTCGTATTACAAAAGGTAATGATGATGTTAAGGATAATGATATCGATTAAGCTGCACAGGACTTCGAAAAGGAAACAACCTCAGTCGACAGCTAACNTGCTTTGGAAGCACCTCACATGCCCAAGACATTTTGGCCCCTATGATGATGAATATCGTTTTCGATAATTATTTTTAACTCTTCACAAGTTCTCAACATAGCACCTGCTTGTACAAGAATTAATAAATTAATAAATTCAAGTGAGTTAACTTGAGTTTCATTTAAGTTCTCTTTGCATTCTTGGCATGTATCTTTGAGTTCGCAAAGCGGCCTATTTCGAAAACGGCGCTTGACATTTATCACGAACAGCGTGTATATCAGTAAGCACTTCGAGCGCCTTAGTTTGGACAAAAACCATCCGCTATTCTTAATCTGACCCTTGAACAGCGTTGCACTACCCAACAGTTCAAGTCTGAATACACTCGATGCCAAAGCTCAACCTCATTCCCAGCCTATGTCCACCACATTGCTTTACGCCAATTAAAAACTGCCCGTTTACAACCAGAATAAATATTTCCTCTGACTGGCTCTACATAAAATCATAAGAGAATAAAAATGCCATCTAAATAAAAATAATAAAAACCGACAGTTAATAATTTGAAATTCATCCTTTTTTTAAAGTTATCCTTTAAATCACCGTTCTTATGTTAGATGACTATTTTTGGCTTCTTACCAGAGTTCGGCAAAGTTGCCTCTTCATCTGAAAAAAACAATAAAAAAAATTTAAGCGGATCGTTGTCGATAAATATTTTTAACTTTAGACTAATAAGTCTGTACGTTTTGCATAGGCGGCAGTGCGAAATTACCAATAAAAAAGCCATAGCGAATACACACTACGTTACTGAGGCAGCTGTAAGGGCCAGACTGGATAAGATAAACAGAATCAAAAGGATAGTCTGAAAGTCTGGTAGATACAAGAAATGGACAACAATTCCGGTTCAGAGAATAGCTTTGAATAATCTTCAGTTTGAAAGCTCTGTCAGCTCTGTCGGGGCTGCAGCAAAGTATTGCATTCCGATATGTTATTAAGCCGAAACTTGCATTTTTTTTAAAGGCATTGTGACAATGACCTTCCGTTCTCGGATTAGCTTGACAAAACAAATCAAAGCAAAAAGCAAAACGAAAATTAGAACAGACATCATTCGTGTTCTCGTATTACAAAAGGTAATGATGATGTTAAGGATAATGATATCGATTAAGCTGCACAGGACTTCGAAAAGGAAACAACCTCAGTCGACAGCTAACGCAAATATCACCGCACAGGTTACAACGTTAGGCCAGCGGTTGTGACGAGAAATAAGGTTGGACACTTCATGACGATGGGATCAGCGGGGACTCAGTAGCGAAGCAAAACTGCGAAGCAGAATACTATCCTCCAGGGTAACATGATAAGTGTCATTTAAGCCTAAGTGAACGAATCTGATAAACCAGTATTCCTCATCTTAACACTCTCTACGCATTCTCTGTTCTCCTAGGGGAAAAGTGCCTCAGTCTGATTGGTCCGTAATTGTTAATCATACTTTTCCATCCCAAGGGAAATAGACACTTAAAAGTATGAATGGAGAAAAAACTAACAAGCTTTGACTTAGAGGGCAAAAGCAGGAGATAATTAGCACTTACAGTACCAGTAACATCCAAAAGAGCACCGATACGTAAGAATATATTACCCTCGAATACAAAGAAGAGGGGAACGGTTGCGGGAAATTTTTTGCTGTGATAAACTCGCTGAACGCTGATATAAATCTTAAGAATAAAGAAAAAACTAAACCATGGCATCAACGCACTCACTCTGAAGATGATCTGAACATCATGCTCACTAATTCAAAGGTCCTCGATTGCAATTGGGGATAGGAAACCCCTTCATATCACAAGCCATTTTTGATGGTTTTCAGGAGACTCTTTACAAGAGTCGACACATAGTTTTCCTACTGGAATCAACGAATGATTGGTATTGATTGATTCGGTCATCCATTTCACAATACATCATTCGCCAACTTTCCAAAGTTACGTAGGAGACGCAATTCCATATACTCAAATATATAAATTCTAACACCCACCATCATTATCCCCCACTTTGCAGTGTTGAAGGGTCAAAACTCCTAAAGGCTCCTTTTCAAAGCCCAAGTTGGTGATCTGTCAACCACCATTAACTCCAAGTTCATAATTAACAATGCTCCCCTAACACATAGCCGTCTCTTGTGTAAAGGTTACAATCGGTATGAAAGGATTTTATAAACACTCACTCAAAGCCAGATTGGAAGTATGGAAGGTGGAGCTCTTAAGGTAATTTTTAAAACAGAAACAGCCCAATGTATAGGAAGACATTTGGATTTATAGCATCAATTTCATTAATGAAATTTCCTGATTTTTTTGCAATTTAAAAATTCTTCTGTGAGTGTAAGACCTTGTTCCAAGCGACCAGTTTGTGGAGAAGGGGTAAAAGTGAGGCGAACGGAGGGAGAAACGATCCCTCCGCTTTTCTACACTGAACGAGAGCCCGGCTCGAGGTACTATTTCCACATACTAACCTGGCTCCCCACATCCATGGATGGCGTGCTTTGGAAGTATGCATGCTGAAAAAGGCAAAACAAACATTAGAGACGAAATAAAGAAGAAGAATAAACAATAGAGAAACATCGCCAGAAATCGAGGACATTTTGCACCCGCATTCATTGGTCAGCGGATTGAAGTCGGATGAAAACAAAGATAGTGGTTAGGACAAGTTCCATATTAAATATTGAGCGATTTAAGTTCTGTGGACTTTCTTTATGGAGAAAAAAGGAAAAAAGAACTTCATATATTCATTGTATCTGATTTATCATCACGGGTTTATTACGAATCAACTTAACGGCCTGCTCCCAGTTGGCTTGTTAGCTCAATTGGTAGAGCGCTGCACTAGTATCGCAGAGGTCAGTGGTTCGAATCCCGTACAGGCCTGATTTTTTTCAGGTCTGATTTTCGCTATTGCATAAATAGCGCTATCTACTGCGAAGGATCGTGCATCATACGTATTTAATACCGCAGTTCAAAATATATGAACTTCATATATCCATTGTATCTGATTTATCATCACGGGTTTATTACGAATCAACTTAACGGCCTGCTCCCAGTTGGCTTGTTAGCTCAATTGGTAGAGCGCTGCACTAGTATCGCAGAGGTCAGTGGTTCGAATCCCGTACAGGCCTGATTTTTTTCAGGTCTGATTTTCGCTATTGCATAAATAGCGCTATCTACTGCGAAGGATCGTGCATCATACGTATTTAATACCGCAGTTCAAAATATATGAACTTCATATATCCATTGTATCTGATTTATCATCACGGGTTTATTACGAATCAACTTAACGGCCTGCTCCCAGTTGGCTTGTTAGCTCAATTGGTAGAGCGCTGCACTAGTATCGCAGAGGTCAGTGGTTCGAATCCCGTACAGGCCTGATTTTTTTCAGGTCTGATTTTCGCTATTGCATAAATAGCGCTATCTACTGCGAAGGATCGTGCATCATACGTATTTAATACCGCAGTTCAAAATATATGAACTTCATATATCCATTGTATCTGATTTATCATCACGGGTTTATTACGAATCAACTTAACGGCCTGCTCCCAGTTGGCTTGTTAGCTCAATTGGTAGAGCGCTGCACTAGTATCGCAGAGGTCAGTGGTTCGAATCCCGTACAGGCCTGATTTTTTTCAGGTCTGATTTTCGCTATTGCATAAATAGCGCTATCTACTGCGAAGGATCGTGCATCATACGTATTTAATACCGCAGTTCAAAATATATGAACTTCATATATCCATTGTATCTGATTTATCATCACGGGTTTATTACGAATCAACTTAACGGCCTGCTCCCAGTTGGCTTGTTAGCTCGATTGGTAGAACGCTGCACTAGTATCGCAGAGGTCAGTGGTTCGAATCCCGTACAGGCCTGATTTTTTTCAGGTCTGATTTTCGCTATTGCATAAATAACGCTATCTGCTGCGAAGGATCCTGCATCATAGGTATTCAATACCGCAGTTCAAAATATATGAACTTCATATGTCCATTGTATCTGATTGCTGACATTGCCGGAAGTAAGTAGACAAACAGCTTTGAATTATTTTTTTGCTAGAAGTACAGCTTAATCTCTACTGAACTTGTTTCGAGACGGAGCTAGGGAATACTCTGACTCGTTTTTGTTCTATTTTGGATTTTTGTGGAAATCCCATACATTTTCTTACACGATTTCGCCGCAATTAACTTCTCACTACGCACGCGCGTCCGGCGTTTTGACCCAAATTTCTGGCAATGATAAAGAGATGATGATGTTACAAAACAACAGATATCACAAACGAAACAATTCTAAAATTGCGGCAACGTCTTCATGACCGGAAAAATATAGGCTTTTATGGAGGTAATCAATGCAAAACTTTGCTCAAGATTTTTAGACAAATTTTCTGTTTCTTGCAAACGTGAGAAATTTGATTACGTTAGTTTTCTCCCCTTATCCTTAATACTACCGAAATAGCCCACGACCCGAGGAAGGACATTAAGTTGAAATCTTGCCACTCCTTAGGTTGGAATCTTGTCTCCATATTGTTTATTGTTCCCCTTTCATTTCTTTGTATATCCCCGCGAGTCTGTTATTGCGTTATAAAGGCTTTTCGTTTATTCTTTCAAAAAACGCCTTGCTGGGGTAATCAAATCATGAGTCGAAAAGCGGTCCGTTACAAGTTTTCTCATTTTGCCTTATTCCTATGTGACCCAAGCGTTGATTTATGCAACATGTACACGAAATAGGAAACAATCGAGCTTACTCAAACAATCTTTTAAGTGCTTACTAACTGAAATTAGCGGTGAGCAAAACAAAGTTTGTTGTCTCTGGACAAGACTAGACCTAACATTAAGTTGACTTGCTTATAAATCATTTGAAGATGTTGTAGGGCAAGTTTTCAACGCGGAATGTGTACAAAGTGGACTGAACCGATGAATGCGAAAATCTTGTTGTGGAAGGCAAAGGATTTGGTAGGATCTGGTGACCTGCAAAGAAACCCTAATAGACGAAAGAAAGTGTATATGGCCCTGATAAAGGAGCTTTGGTATAATAGCTTTACCACTAATCTAAATTTCTCCACACAGACTCTTAGAGATCAAGCTTCAACGATTGAGAAGTCGTTGGGACGTGATTTCTGCAAGTAGAAATATGATTGAGATGTAATCAAGTGTCGGTAATTCACAGATCATCAGAGAAACGAAGTTGACAACTAACGCAACTCGAGAGCAAATTTTGCATATGGGAATAAGTTAACAGATTCCAGAAAACAACACCAGTAATTAACTTTACTGCGCTGATTTATACAACATTGTCGTGTAGAACTGAAAGACTTGCAGTGTTTAAGCATCAACGCAACCTACCGATCAAATTTCGTGACCTTTTTTATTCTTTTCGTCACTGAAAAAGCTTGCCGTTGTCGGGACGTTTTTTCCGGCAGCTGAGGAAGCCCTTTAGTGGCTGTTGCCGTTGTAAAGAGGCCGCCGCTGTGGAGAGTTTTAGACAAGAGTCAATATACACACAGCCCGCCGGGACCGAAAAAAGTAGTTGAGGTTCGACTGTGCAAGCACGAGTTTTTCTGCTGTTCTCTGGAGACAAAACGAGTTTAATACCAAAGCTGGGTGAATTAATGACTTACAACCAACTCCTATTACGTGCCTTCATACCATGTGCAAGTGGTAAACGTCTTGCCTCTTAGTCAGATTAAACCAACACTTAGGGTCGTATGGTCTAACGCAGCGAGATCTGCATGGAGCCAAGGGGAAATGTAATAGGAATTTCGATAACTTGATCGTCGATCACATGGTCTGCCAGGATTTCCCAACGGGAATAGAGAAACCTGAGTATAGCTTGGGTCGGCGTGGCCAAGGTGTATGTCTCAGTGGATCACCGTTGACTAAACGAAATGTTTAACGTACACGGATTGCCTGAGTGGTTTGTAACATCGATGCAGAAGCTGGTTGCGTGTTAGAACACTCAGATAATAGTGGAGACAAAGAGGAGTCGACAGGCGTCGGGGATCATTCCCTCCACAGGGGTTTGCCTCAAGGAGATGCCCTCACTTCAACTCATTTCACGTTGTACCTGAATCCCATAGCGTGGAAAATGAGAGGGACGGAAGGATACAAGTTATTGAGGCCTACATCTCTGATAGCCACCCAGCTGTTGTATATTGACGACCTTAAGGCGTTTACAGCATCGGAGAGTAAGCTGACGAGAATCATGAAAGTTTTTTTTTGTAAAGGACGGAATGGAGTGCCGGCATTCGAATGAAATGGAACGAGAAGAAGTGCGCAGTAGCACACGTGAAAATGGGTAGATGAAAGTACAGAAAGATTAACGAAATAAAATCAGTAAACAGCCTGGACGTTAACAGCACCTACAAGTTTCTTGGAGTCCTAAAGATTGTTAAACAGAAAGACAAGCGAACTTGTCTTAGAGAGCGCAGGGGGCACATACTGACAGAAACTGTGCCCGCTATCAGACCGGTTTAACGCAGTGACGCAAACTAGTAGTATCTCGAAAGGCACAAAAACGCCCTGAAGATCCTATTCCGGCTTCGAGTAATCAGGTAAATAGATCTGGTAGATACACAACTTCCTTGGTACTCCCATGCTTAGCCCAAGGCGGTTTATGAGAACGAGTGATCTGTTACATATTGGGACGTTCCGTTATTTGCGGGCAACACCCTAGTCAAAGCAAACAAGATCGACGTCAGAAACGTATGCACAAGGTTGAAAGGAAAACATCACTGATTGAAATGAGCCGCTCGAATCGAAAATCGCGAAGTAGAAGCCGTTGAGAACTAAGTACGGAACATCTGGGAGAGAGCTACAGAAGAGATATGCAGGACAACAGGACCAATACGATACCTTATTTCATAGATACTGAGATTTACACACGACAAAAAGCCCGAGTGAAACTAGTACGTTAAATCTATTAGCCAATAGGAAACGCGAACGATGAATATTCACTAGTGAAAAAACGTCGTTCGCCCAATCACAAACGCGAACGACGAAAATTCACTAGTGCACAATCGTGGCCCGCGAGTTTCACTCCGACTCTTGAATCCAACATGGCTAGTTCAAGGTCAGCTTCTTTGGAAAGTTCCATTGAGACTTTTATTGAAGAACAAGAAAACCAGAACACAGTGAAGAAAAAGTAAAAGCGTATGACGCTGCGTGTTTTCATGATTTAGTGACATTCTGATTTACGACATTTATGACTTGTAAATCTAAGTCAAGTTTTTTTCTCTAAAAGTTTTTTTTCTAAAGTTTTTTTTTTCTAAAATTTGTCATTGACGTCTACATATTTGGATTTCCTATCTTCATTAAACATTTCAAAAGACAAAGAGAACTTTATAGTTTAGTTTGTAATAGCAATTGAATGGATTTTCTAAACATGCGCGCCCAAACTGATAAAATTGACCAGCAATTTTTCTTTTCAAAAATCTCAATATCTATAAAATAAACAAATGACACCATGGAAAACGCTTTTTACGATTTTATTCACTCGTTGAGGAGTGTCAGAAAACTCACTCGTTCCCAGTGCTCACTCGTTCGTTTTCTGGCACTCCTCAACTCGTGAATAAAAATCGTACGCGTGCATTTTCCATGGAGTAATCTCTATATCTTTGATTAGCTGGGACGATATTCACGGGAATTTGGCAAGGCACGCAAAGATCTTGTAAGAGAAATAAGTAGATCAGTAGCTATCTACATGCAAAAGTCTATCTTGACAGTTCATTTCATATCGCTCGTTCGGTAAAGGTTTTAAACTGAGCAGTATTTTCAAAGTATAGAATCATACATACAGACAATATCTAGACAATTTTTAGTCCTCCATTCACTAAGACCTTTTTTCCATTTCCATAACCAAGGCAAGAATCCTATTAGGTCTAGATAATTCTAATAATTTAAGTTTAGGTCTTCGACACGGAGTTGACTACGGCTCGCGCTTCCCAACTATCGTTCCCATGATATGGGTGTCTAGAAGTTTTATACTGCCGTAACAATGTCAATAATAACGATGATGGTGTAGTGTGATCTTCCGGATGAATGTAGTCCTGTGAAGGATTGTTATCGGTGTTGGTTACTTATATCTAAACGAAACCACGTCCACTGACGTCGCCACTGACATCAGTCCTACTCAGGACGATCAGAACACACAATCGCATGTTACACCCGCGTAAAAACCTGTTACTGTATTAGTAATGATGTAGAGATATAGACAAACATATAAAAACAATTTTCATCACCTTAAACAGATAGAGATGGTTACTTACGCAATTGTTCATATGTAAATACGTCCCAAAGGTTATTTAAATGTGGAGAGGAAACAACCTGATAAAAGTAGAAGAAGATCAAATTCATGACAATATTTTATTTTCAGGATAAGGTTCACCCCTCCAGTTAGGGCTGCTATCAAACCCTGAAGAACAAGTCTCTGTAAGAATCAAACATTTTGGGAAATGAAAATTTCCAACCCTGATTCAAATTTTGCATGCAGTTAGGTAGTTAGGAGGGATGCAAAAAAATGCCCTTGTTAAAAGTTGTAGCACTCTTGTTGCCATGGTAACAGCGGCTGCTTGTTCGACACCTAGGGCCTCATTTTCATGCAAAAACATCTTGAAAAGAAAGCAAAATGTTTATTTCTCTATCTCAAGCTAGATACAACATTAGAGATTGGTACTTCTACCATATATAGCAACATCATTTGTCTTCATATTAAAGCATTCAATTTTCATTGGGAGTGAATGTAAACACAACAATAAATTATTTATCTCGGTGCAGTTTCAGTAATTTTTGATGTAGGGTTTAACAAGGAAAACGTTTATCTGAATTCCTCCAAAAGTACACCGATTATGGAACTGAAATTACCCACCTAGTCGGTCATAATATTCTAGTTTTTAAATATACAAAAGTCGCTGCGGGTCGGTCTCTACTTTTCATAGGAGAAATTCGCGAAAGAAGGTCAAAAATCAGATGTTGCATAATTTGGCGATGTTCACATCTAATGTTCTCAACAACAAAAGTCTCAGACAAATGAAACTTCAAAGGTTTGGAAAGAATGTTATCTTACGAACAATATCCAGAAGAGAAATCTCGCCTCTGGTTGTCATCTTTTAAAAAAAATTGATTAGCCTTCATGGAGGGCTACTCGACGTAACTACAAACATATCGTGTTCAAATCGTGTGCATACCATCCAGATTCCGAGCGCTGCACCTGCTTTCACGGGAATTTGAGCAATCCGAGATACTCTGAAGATACACTGTTATACTTGTATGTCATTTGAAAAATGTTAAAGTCGGCTGATCAACATGAAACTATCCTATCGCCGGTCTTTTGTCATAAAGTGTGCGTTATGACGATGGCGTGACTGTATTTCTCCATGAAGTTTCCATCGGTCGCTCCAAAGGAGACGAGAAATGGGCATTTTTTCGATTTTCAGCAGATCTCCGCGTATTCTGAAGTAAAAGCAACCAAGAAACAATAAATAAAGAAGGGAGAGGAGAACTTTGATTAAACGCTCGCAAACACTGAGAATCTATAAATCGCAACTTGTCAGTGGCAGTAGGAATGTAAAACCCAGTTGCAACATTAGCGATTTGTACGACTCGCGCGAAAACCATATTAAATTGGAGATTTTGAAAACTCAGTATCCCTGCAGAACAACAAATGGAACAGGGATTTCATCACGATCAGTTTCCAAAGATTTACCCTTTTTCAGGGAGTCTCCTACATGCTCGAACATTCTATCGACTTTGAGCCTTGAAATTTATTTCCTTTGATAATAAAATGCGATTTCCTTTGATAATAAAGTGCGATTTCCTTTAAAAATAAAATGCAACATTAGCGATTTGTAAGTGCCTACAAAAATTACAAAGGTTCCCTTTTTGGTTCGCTTTGACCATGGAGTACAGATTTGAAGTAATTAACGCTGTCACTGATGAACTAACGGGCCCAATTTTCTCACTGAGTTATTGGCTTGATTATCTCCACAGACAAACGTTATTGGACCGAACGATCTCCTTTTTCTTTCTGATGAGCCGGCTATCTTAGGGGGAAATTAAAGAGACCTTTGACTTCCTCACGTGTAAATCACCGGGAGATTGCCTTGTATTTCTTTTAAGTGCCCCTGAGACCGTAATTGACCATTTCATTTTGGGATGATTTGTTTTAACAGAATGTTGAATTGGGTCAAGTTAAAACCCTTTTCGCCATTAAAAACTCAAAACAATGTTCGATGACCAATTTTTATCGCTTCAAAGTCGTCCAAAAATCGTCCGCCATTCCTAAAAACATGTTCCAGCCGAGCCCGCACTTGTACAGCAGAAAACGTCATTATGACGTCAAAGGTCCGGCAAACTTATGCTTTACTTTGTCACAACTCTCTTTGTTCGCTGCACAGAGAATCACAAATATTATTGACCGTAGTCGGTCATGAAATGTCGACTTTCTCTATCGATGAATTGTCCCATAAATCATCTGAAGCTTCTGAGGACAGTTTTGCGAGGCAAACGATGAATTTTTGCCATGAGAATAAAGGTAAAGACAGAACAGCACAGACGTCCCTTGTGGCTTTTGTGATTGCGTCGCTTTATCGCCTTCAAACTATATTTTTGCTTTTCGTAGGGAAGTTTTGGATGATATATAAGAATTGTTTTCGGCAATAGTTGATTGTGTACCAACGCGGCTGTTACGAGTTTGTGAAAGCCATTTCTAAGACAAGCCATTAATGTCTGTGCTCCAATGCATTAATTTTTTTGGTCGATGATCCTGCGTGTTTTTCTACTATCGTTACTTTGAGAGGTTTGAAGTGAACTCTGTTGTCGAATTCCATTTTGGCCACCCTGTTTTTTTGTCTGTTTTTGAGTGGCTTCTGTGAGGTTTAAAGCAAAGCTGTGACTTCATTGCGTTATAAAGTATTTTTTGGCTTAGATACAATAATCTCAGTCTGCAAGTTGTGTTGTTGCAATTTTCCACGTAGCTCTGAAGGGCAATAAGATGACTGAACTGGTGGCATTCAGTTTGATATGAAACGGAAGTGGTCCTATGTATTGTCTGTGAAAGGTGTATAGGGGGCGCATTCGTCTTGCGAAGAAATCTCGCAAGAGTTGGCCTGATTTTACATTCGTTTGTCGTGGGTGTTAGGATGAATTTGAGATTCTTTGATAGCACGCTGACTTGGCTGTGAGATGATTGATAGTTTGAGAGATTTTTACAAATGTTTTATTTTACCCCGTTTCTTTAGCTGCAATCCTACATGTTAAAGTGTTTCTATGTTCTATGTGTCTTAAGCTGTTTGTTGTGCTTTCGCTGATGTTAAAGCCAGCTTTTTTAGAGTCAAAGAACATATTTATATTTCATTGCATCTCTTTTGTTTCACAGTGAGTTCTTTAAGGTCAGAAATCTTTTGCCTTAATATTCGGCTATTTGAAAAATATGGAAAATTATGGAAAATAATCGTGACGCATTTTTGTGCATCCCCCCTAAGTGCCTAACTGAATGCAAAATTTGAAGGGGAGTTGTAAATTTTCATATCCCAAGATGTTTTAGAACATAGCTAGCAGAGTCGCGCAGTCAAATTCATTATACGTAAGCGTGCTCAAAATCCCGATAGTGCACGCTGATAGCGTCAGCAAATCCGACTTCGCAAGAAATTTTTTTGTTCGCGCGAGCGGCCATTGTTAGCGCGGGGAAAAATAATATATTTCGCGACAATAATGGATACAAACAGAAACTCGGCCTACTTGTCCGAAAACGAAGACAATGTTTCGGCCTTTTCCCTTGGGCTAGAGTTCTTAAATGAGGCAGAATAAGAGAAAAACAAAGGAAAAGGAGACTTAGCATCAGCGCCGTCACGATTCGCTTCAACTGATATTGTTGTCCGTTTTTCGCGTCGGATTTGATGCACAATTCCACCGGCTATGTTCAAAAACAATTGGTTCATGCGTTCAGCTTCTTGCGTGCTCTCCAAACATTCCACGTGCTCCTTAACACGATAGTGCACGCTAATGCATGAACCAATTGTTAATGATTCTTACAGTGACTTGTTCTTAATGATGTTGGTGTGTCATAGGGGTTTTCAAGAGAAAATAATCGGAAAGCAGTTAATGATAATAAAAAATAAATGTATATTTCGCAAATTCCATAAAATGTTCAAATATGCGTACCAATTTAAGAAAAGTACAATCCCTAAAAGCTATGATTAGAAGGGAATAGGAGCAAAATATAACTGCAAAGATGGCATCATAATTATTAAAGGATATATTGAAATCAAAATAAAATGCAACAGAAAAACGCTGTTCTAAAGCTGAGATTTTTATATCGGTATTAAAATTGGCGATTGAATTTTAACTTCGAATGTCCAGTGAGATTGTAATTCAGAGTTTTGGAGCAGAAAAAGTAAAAGAACGTGTCATACCACACTCTAATACAGAAGGTACACGTTAAGCAATTTTGTATTCGAACTAACGAGGTAAATCTGTCGAATATTACTTTCAAGAGCTTAATTTGACGATTATTTTACCCGTAAACCTCACCAAAACGTTTACTTGGGTACTGTTCTCTATGCCATAGGAAGAATTAGAAATGTTATATTGCGTGACATTCTGAAAATAAAATGTACATATCAGACTTGAATTAACCAACTGCTAAAGATTAAGCTAAGGCGATCATGAATCGAGCTGTACAGAATTCCATTCAACAAGCAAGCTAGGTAGTGTAAGATTTAGCAACGCATCAAGAGGACATGGTTGATGCTACTTTGATTTAAGGATTTAATGAAAGAAACGGGGAAATTACCAAGACCCAACGTTTTGACACTCCTGTCTGGTGCCTTCATCAGGGATGATCAAATCGTTGCAACCAGAGGTCCTTTATTTTGTGCTTTATCGACTCTCTTATCCACCAATTTAATTTTAACTTTCTGCACTCACTTTCAACTTCAGTTCTGCACTCAGTTTGGGATTAGTTGATTTGGTCCCAGTTGATGAGCATGCTGAAATTTATTCACGCATATTATTAGGTATAAAATGCGCGCAAGCTAATCTTTCAGACTAGAGACAATTGCTTTTATGTATTTGATACTTACATACTTATTCACTACATCTTGCCTGTGCTTCATCTCACCTTATCAACCACATCACATTCAAAAATGTTACAACAATTGGACGGACTATCGAGCGGTCTATAGAGGGTTAATATCTTGTATCCGGTCCAATTACCATTTACATCTATCATGAAATAAAAAAGTTGATAAAAGAAAAATGAACATACATACCAAATAGACACAAGAATAAATGGCAAAAATAATAAACATAAAAATGTAATGATTTATTTTGCACTAAGTTTTATTTCATTGAGACTGAGACATGATAGTGATATTTCGTAAGTTTTCTATTCTCATGAAAAAGAATAGATTTCTATTTTAATTCAAGGCGAACTCTTCTAATTGAGTTGAGGTAGTTTAGCAGGAATTTTAATAACACATACTTTGTAAGGGTTTCCACGTTACAGTCCCTTGATATCTTCCCGTGTCCTCTATTTCGTGGAACACTATACCAAGGCCGCCAACAACCGTGGCATTCGAATTACTCTCTGCACTGCCAGTAGTGCAATTTTCTGCACCTGCATTGAACGTCGCAAATAAATCAAAAGTGAGATTTCGTTGAAATTCAAATCAGCCTGAGCCAGCCTGATGAGGCTGAAGAACTTTTACGAAATCCAAATCTGCGAATGTTGAATATAAAGAACATAAATACATTGTTTTGCATGTGAATTGTTATGATCTTCGGGAAAAGCTGTTTTTTTAACGTTACGCTCTGTATAAGAATGGGTGGATATGGTACACTGGAGCTACTTACGGATAGGCCAAGGGCCTGCCACACAATAACATAGATAAATGAAAAGACAAACAATTAGAATGATAAACTGAAGCAAAACTAAGAAATTTTATGAGAAATGAATACGCTCTTGTGAAAATGGAATCGGTTTGTAAAAGCATAAAATGGTCTATAAAACTATCATTTAACCTTACCATACATTATGCCAGGTTTTGGTTTGCCAGCCACTTTCAAAGCGTGTATGAGAAAAAAAAGAATTAGATAAAAATCGATGGGAAGCAAGCTCTTAATGCAACTCCAATGCCACAGTATATTGAGATCAGTTGTTAATGAAGGATTGCATCAAAGTATGGGAAAACTGGAGAAAGGAGGAATTAGGAATTTAGGGATCGAATTTTGGTCTTTGAATCTTTTTTTTTCAGCAGGTAACTCCAACCCGTGCCCAAGACATTCGAAATTCCCAATTATTCAAACTCCAGCAGGGTGTTAATTCCTCACAAACACGTGTCAGTGAAAGGAGATCCATTTAATGACTCACCGCGCCTGATTCTTTTCAAGAAGGACATCTTCTGCTCATCAGCGAAAGCTCTCAGTTCGTTTTTTGCCGAGTTCATGTCTACTATGATAACATGAGAAACAGAACATAGGATGTCTCAAAAAGTTATTGCCTGCGCGTGTGATAGCAAGGCAAAGGCTCATCATTTCATTTCAATACTAAAATTCGGCAATCTCAAGGTATTCTTCTATTATATGAAAATTGAAGGTTAGCCAAATAGGCTTTTTCAAACAGCTCGTCACGCGAGCCCTTCTCCGAAAAAGCAGTGATTCATTTGATTAAAAAAAAATCCAAAAAATATGAAAAAAAGCCCCGGATTTCAGCTTCAACATTAAGAACAAGTCTCTGTAAGAATCGAATATCTTGGGAAATGAAAACTTCCAGAACCACCACCATCAAATTTTGCATGCAGATAGGCACTCAGGGGGGATGCACAAAAATGCACTTTTTAAAGATTGCAGCGCTCTTGTTGCCATGGTAACAAAGACTGCTTGTTCGAGGCCTGAGGCCTCATTTTCATACAAAAATATCAGCCCACTTAAAAATGTTTCAAACGACATACAAGTATAACAGTGTATCTTCAGAAGATTTCGGATCGCTAAAAATTCCCGTGAAAGAAGGTGTAGCACTCGGAATCTGGATGATGTACGCACGATTTGAGGTATATGTTTGTAGTTACGGCGAGTAGTCCTCCTTCTTTCAAAGCCATGCACGTTTCATTCGTCTGAAACGTTTTTTGTTATGCAATATCTGATTTTTTAGCTTCCTTTGCGACTTGTCCCTATGGAAAGTAGAGGCCAGCCGCAGAGATTATTGCACAATTAAAAACCAGAATATTATAACCAACTAGGTGGGCAGTTTTAGCTCCAGAATCAGTGTACTTTTGCAGAAATTCAGGTAAACGTTTTCCCTGTTTACCATAGAGTAAAAATGACCGAAACTGTACCGAGATAAATAATTAACTGGCTTGTTTACACTCACCCCCAGGGAAAATTGAAAGCATCAAAGTGAAAATCAATGATGTCACTATGTATAGTAGAAGTACCAATTTGTAACGTTGTATTTGGCTTGAGATAGAGAAATAAACATTTTATACTATTTTTTTTTTGCAATATTTTAGTATAAAAATAAGGCTTCAGGCCTCGAATAAGCAGTCGTTGTTACCATGGCAACGAGGGTGCTGCAACCTTTATAAAGGGCATTTTTGTGCATTCCCCCTGAGTGCCTAACCCTAACTGCATGCAAAATTTGAAGAGGGGTTGAAGGTTTTCATTTCCCAAGATGTTTGATTCATACAGAGACTTCTTAAAGTAGAATATTTTTAGGCGTTACACAGAAATTAGAGAGGATTTGCCCGCTTAACTCACCAGTTCAACTCTAATGGTAAAAATATTTGTTCTTCCTCTAAGTTTACCAATGGCTGTCGGATTTACTCCTTGTAAAGTGCGGCTGTATATCCTTGCTTATATTGTTAGCTGTAACTTTTCATAGTTAATAGTTTAGGAGACTTTATCTCGTAATTCTTCATTCTTTTTTTATCAACACCTCAACCTTCCGAGTTTTTCTTCTAAAATAACTAATATTTCTGATAAAAATTGACTTATCAAGCTCGAGGGATGAAATGATTTAATACCTTATCAAACTTTTTTAAAATTTGTGTGTTGTGAGCAAAATGCGGACTTGTTAGATTGTGTGGTTCAATTGCAAATTTACTCGTATTGTAATGATGGGTTTCAATGATGTTAGGGTGGCTTAAACTATGGGTACTTTTCATAACCCAAACCGTTGGCCGCTTCCCATCATACAATAACTCTGGACTTAATATCACTGCAACTGCCTCGGACGCTTGAGGTGTATGTATAACCAGAGAACGCAAGAGCATATCACCTGCTCTCTTGGTGGACATTATCCCCCTTATTACATCCATTTTGAAATCACTTGTGATCCTTGCAATCTGATTGGCTCTCCCCAGTGCGATCTATTCACAAAACGCACCATTTTATGCCATAAATCGCATATTTCCCGCCAATGAGACAGCTTGAGATGAATAAAAAGGTAATTGAACTTCGTATTGTGCAGTTGTGGTCTGAAATCATACTTGTGATTTTAAATCAAAGTAGTGCTGCGCGCTCTGGTTTCGTTTTTGAAATCCCGTGTATGATCTCTGACCAAATCGCACTCCACTCAGTTCAATATCCATTATTTATCAATCAGTTTAGCCTAAACAGGGTCTAAAGTTTAGCATCTTTACCGTCCTCACGAAGACACCTTTCGTAACAAGATCGACGACCAAAGATCTGCAAGAAATAACAGTATCGACTACTTAGTTTTCATAACATATCTTTACATAAACGGACATCATCTATACCATTGGTAAATCAGAGTCCTAAACCTATTTTTACTTTTTATCAGGCTTTTGAATTACTCTCGCAGAGACAAGCTTGAAACTGCCAAAAGAAAGAACAATTACCCGCCTTCCAATTCTTCGTTTTCTTTCAATATTCCATCCAGATCATACCCATTCACTTTTTAAACACTGAAAAGATGGGTGCTGATGCCAAAAAAACGTTTTGCATTCCTTTCTCAAAGATGGATTACATACATGCTAATATAAAAGTCAGTTGGTTCAGACTAGCGCCTAATCGAACAATGACAAATTGCGGAGTTAGGAGGTTGAATATGAAATGAAGTATGTCATGACCATTGCCAAATGTCAATGACAACTAAAAAGAACCATTAGATACAAAAATGTCCACAAAAGCACTGGCTATTATGGTTTAAAGCGTGCACCCAGTTTAGTAAGTTCATTTTAAGTATCTTTATGGAAAGTTCTTAGAGAAAAAAAAGGAAAGACGGGAAAATATAACACATGAAAAGAAATGGCCACAGATGTCGGAAGGGCGGAAAGTAACAGTATCCAAAGTATAGATTTATATCAGGTGTAGAGCGCAGTACGTTTTATAACCATCAAACATCTACATATCGATTTATCTGTTAAACAGCGTTGTCCGCTGATTGAACGACCGGTGTTAAAAAGACTTTGACTACAAACAAACTGTGCGGAGGTTGTTCCAGAACTTGTAACAAAGACAATTACGTAATGACATTTGTTGTAGTCGCATAGCGTATGCAACCTGGCGACACTTTGTAGAATAATCTTGTCCGCAGCTAATAGTCGTTTTATAGCTATATAGTTTGATAACAGAGTGTTTTAGAGAATCGTTCCCTTGGATCTCGAGATTAGTTTTATGTTAGAACCGTTCCGGAAGGATCTAGATTTTAGTTTATTTTTTTGGAGTTCCGTCAGACCAACTGGGCCGAGTTGTTTTTCATTTATAAACGGCGTTGACATCTCACCCCAAGAGCACATAAGTCTCGGAAAATGATAAAATACAGGAAACAAAGTCTCAATGATACCGAAGCAAATCATGATGACTTGTAAAAAAAATCTGGAAATATCATTTGAGGTGGAGAAGTCGTTTACGTATGATCTCTTTTGAAGGTTAGTTTACCATTTGGCTATATCATTCATGGAGTGAAAGAAAATAATACACGCCGATAAACTGACCTAATGACTTAGTACGATTTTAAATTTTAACTCTTTGTCGACTTCTGGCGATGTTAATGGATCGCTTATTTACGACTACGTTACAAGAAAAGGAAAGGAGTCTAAACCTAAAACAGTAACGTACTTCTGCAGAAAACGAAATATCTGCAAAGTGAAATATCCAAGAAAAAATGCCGAGGAAACTGAGGACAAAAAAGAAACAAGCAAAACAAAAGCACGAAAACAATGTTAAAAATAGCAGAAAAACAAGGAAGATAATCACTAGATGATGACCGCAGTGCCATCTAATAATCATTAATTTATGTCTTTTCTAGCGTTTCCTTTGTTTCTCGTTGTCATCAGAAATCATTATATAAACAGCCGAGTTAAGCTTTCTTTATAATGATAAAAGAAATGGCGACATACATGTGTTGCGTGCTCGCTGCTTCGCGAATTGGGGAGACTTCTTATCGAGTCATTGACTTCGCCACCCCGGATACGGTAGTGCATTAACCTATTGATGTCCAGTGCGCCCGTAAGCGGCCATGTGGAACCACACCCTTTCTACGCCCTGTGACGTCATCACTTTTAACTCTAGAGCCCGACTTTGAGCACGTACTTAAACAGGTTGAAAATATCTTTCAAACGATACCCTAATGAGCGCAATTGAGTGAAGGACACAGGAGAAATAGCCAAAAGACCATGTAACTTTGACATGAAAATCGGCACGAAAATTTTTTTCCATTACCCACCTACCTTTCTGAGTAAGCAATGTGGTTTGAAAATAATGAGTAGTTTCCTAAAAAATCTCTACACCAAAATGAAGCCTACTAAATTTACAGCAAGTGAACAGAAAATTCAGGCAATGAAAGGGAAAAAAACGGCAAGAGAAAGAGAGAAAAGTAAAAGTCGTACTTGAAGTGGGGCATCACTTTTCAACCCAAAAACTCGAAATTTTGCTTTCTACGCCTGCCTGAGATTTTCAGGCCGCCATTTTGCATTTGGATCGAAAGGCCGTCGAGTGTACAAGCTGTGAATGGGTTTGTGGTAAGTCTGAGCTCTTAAAACCACAACAGTGACCTGAAATCTCCTCGACTAGCTTCAAAACGCAGTTTTTCACAAAAGCTGCGGCTATTAATGGGTTAATAGATGAAATTTATCTAAGTGTCCAGCTTTAAACAGGCCCTAAGCTTAAGAATAAAAATTGTTTTTGAATTTTTGGCATTTAAAGCGCAATACGGTAAGCATGGTTGGGTGCGCCATTGAGTTCACCTTTATGGATCGTTGCCAGAGCTTGATTGTTTCTTCAAGATCCCACCACGGCTGTATGAAAGAGTCTATTGTTTACGGTTTCAAAGGACCCGACCGGGCTAATTACTGACAATTTTGAACCCGGGTGCATTTGTTATTAATTGACATTGGTGACTGAAGAAAAGTGTCGATAAACAGCTCTGAGACCTTACAACAGTTATTTGTTAAAGAGCCGATTTGTGTCCAGTCAACTAGACAATTCGAATAAATCCAATATATTCACCTAGGCAGTTGGGATTTGATTTTAGACATGAATAATTTTATGACCAAAATCTTAATTGGATCTGCGCAGCCAAGCTAAAATTTCCATGACAAAATTCGTATCGTTAACTACTCTAACGTGATTAGAAGTATTATCCTGTGAAAAGACTCTATGCAAAGAAATAAGGTTTACTATTGGACTTTCTGGTGATTACGGAAAACAGAGGCCTAAATAAGGATATGCTATATAGTAGCAAAGCTATGATATGTGACAGCGTAAATTATTAGGAATTTATCTTTACCCTTTCCATTACCTAAAAGGAGATCTTGACACAGATTGAAGGATCAGGGTACGCTAGATTACTATTAAATTGCAAATATATCTCAGAATTCGCGACCGTGTCTTTAAATGATATTAAATCTAAGGTAACTTGATATATTTGTTCTTTTCGTTCGATAATAGGTAATAGTTATTGCGATTAAATCATTTGAACATGTGGCAGATTATAAAACAATGACAGATTTATTTTGAAGTCTTTTGCACTTAATTCTCAAGAAATTCTGGCAAAACACATTTTAATGCGCCATTATGCATAACTAAATTTTATTAGAGTTTCTTCCTTGAGGCTGTGTTACTTCTACCCTAAGGATCCCTTCACCGCGATCGGGAAAAGATGCAACGTAAAAACAATATTAAGATCTATGGTCTACTTGAAATCGTTTTGAAGTTTTACTGACTAAGCCTTGCAAAAAATTTTCTTATGGGCTCTAAGAATAGTTTAAATGAAACCAAGAGAGGCACTTGGATTTTTCGCGTCCAAAATTATTTGCAATATCCGGTTATATCATATTTCCATATCAATAAGGCCGTGAGGCCGTGTTTAGGCTTGAGCGTGCTACCGAGGTATACGTATTGGAGTTAACTTACCTAGGTAAATATTTTTCGCGTGTAAACGCGAGAATTGATACTCTGGTAAACACCGCTCAAGACAATAGAAAGTTAACTAAGGTAAAAGTTCGGTTTACCCTGCGAGCAGGCATGGTCAAGGTTGGTAACCAAGGTTTGGATCCTTCTCGAGACCAGGTTTTCACGTTTGGTTTCGGTCTACGAAGAAGTTATGGCAAAAGAAAAAAAAAAAGACACAAATCATTACGAGTGCGACCAACCCGAAAGGTAAAGTTAACAATATTGTATAGCTAATTTATGCATATAAATATTTATTTCTTGTGCTGAATTTTGATCCTCGCATTGTTTCGCCAGGAAAGATGCATATTCCACGTTGTCGCCATTTTTCTATGCAAGACAACCAAGGCTACAACCCTTCTCGTACAATCAACAGTTCTTGCCACAGTAATACTATGTTCCACCAATGATGTCCTCGATGCAGATGATGGCACCATTCAATCATTCGCCTGCCCATGCTGTTTAGGCTTCCAAGTTTTCGGATCCGCCTACATCGAGGCAAGAAAACGCAGAAACTGGAGCGCAAAGGGAAAAAAATCGATGGACTGACACCGAAGAAAAGATTCTAATTGAACTGTTCGGCGAGAACGAGGATAAACTTTGCTATCGGTCATTCAATTCCCCGGAGTAGCAGTCTATCGCCAGGCAACTACAAGAAAAGTGCAGACGAGAGAATGTCGAAAGCGAGAAATCTGCCCAGCAGTGCAAAAATAAAATGGCAAACCTTACCAAAAAGTACAAGACCGTGAAATATAAACTAAGGACCACTGGATATGGGAAGGGAGGAGATAACGAACACGAAGACAAGGAAACCGAGAGTGGAGCTGAGCTCATACCAAGAAATTTCCACGATATGGATAATACTTTAGGCAACCGAGAAGCTGTTAATCCCAAGCACGAGCTGGAAAGCAGCTCACAACACGTCGAAAGTTCCCTGAAATTTGATCAAGATTTGCTGGAAAAGGATAATGAGGAGATCTGGGCAGCTGCTCGCGCCCAAAAGGAGAGGGATACGCCTGACACGTCTGGCGCTGATGGCTCTGAAGAAGAGGACGCAGATCTGGCTTTCGCGAAATCACTGTTATTCAAGCACAAAACCGAAAAAAGGAAGGGCCCGATCACGAGCACACCCAATCCAAAGAGTCGCGCGGTAGAATCGGCGAAATCGGCGAAAAAGAATCCTAGAAAGAAGACTTCAGGTGGGGCTGGCGCAGAGGAACAAAGCGTAGTCCTTTCGTTTCTGTTCGTTGACGGTGATCATTATAATCATCATT